GAAAGGTCGTCAATTTTTTCCCATCTAAACAGATCTAAATTTTGTCAGCTGCATTTGAAAGCGTAAGCCAAATGAAGGCTTAGCTTTTCCACAAGTAGCTCTCCTACCTCTGTGCAGGGTAAAGTAAAAAGAGTGCAACTTAATCTTTTTGAGCAAATAGTGGGCTTCTAACCACATGAATCAGAATGAAATTATTTACAGGGGGGATTAACAACATAAACAATTTCAAAGAATCTTAGCTGCATTACAAACAAATTAACTTGGCCATAAGCAAGCCATTTCAAAGAATCATTTGACCGGCAATATGAAAAACAAGACTTACCACAGTGGAGTTACCATGCTGCTGATGAAGTGGGAGATTCTTTTTAAGGGACTCAACACTCTGGTCACCATTTATGCTAGTACGGTTTAGGAGCTCGTCCTCATTCCCAAGGCTCACCCGGCTCTTGTTCTGCCTCCGATGTTCTCGAATCCTAGAAAAATCAATTGAGTAATCTGGTAGACCCACCTTTCCATCCCACTCACCAAATGCTGGTACAGATAAACGTTCATTACCCTGTTCAAACCAGTAAGCAAGATGACATCTCCCAATCAAAAGTACAGCAGATCCAACTTCATTTATTCAATAAGAAAATTTAACAACTCAAGTTTCAATCTAGGGTATATCTTAGGTTGCTAGAGAAGCTAGAAGCTAGAACTAATATATGGATATTTTTAGTAGAATTCAAGTTGGATTGTTGAAGTGGAGGAATGCATCGGACATGTTCTGTGATACAATGATAGAAAAGTACCCCTCAAACTTAAGGAAAAATTTTATATGATGGTAGTGAAACCCGTAATGCTTTATGGTGCAAAATATTGGCCCCCTAAAAGAAAAGCATAAAGTTAAGCTAATTTTTGCAGAGATGAGGAAGCTCAGGCAGGGGCGGAGCCAGAAATTTTTTTAAGTGGGGGCACAAATTATGAATTCTTAAAAAACCCTCAACGTTTGTTCATCCGGGCTTAAGGGCGGCATCGATGGTTTTATTTTTTATTTTTGTTAAAAATGTTATATAAAAAGATAAATTTATAATTAAAAACATACAATCAAAATTCTAATTATAGTCATATTTTTCTTGCATTACACCTATAATTTCTCCAGTTGAGTCTTCATATTTTGAAAGCGTGTTATAATCACTTAATTGTTAATATTATTACAAATATCTTTTTCAACAACTTCTGTTTTTTTTTTTTTTTTTTTTTTTTTTTAAGTATCTCTCTGTTTCTATAACAAAAAATATAATGATATATAATTAAATAAAAAAGAACAAACATATTTGAACAAAATAGCAATATATTTTTAATGAAAAATATTTTAACTTGAATGGAAAATTGAAATCTTTGTCTTGACAATGTATAAAATTATAGTTTATTAAATTCTCTTCTCTAAAGTTCCTCTCAAAAGAATTTGAAGATATAAAATTGAATATAAACTTATTACTTAAAAATATAAGCAGTAACCAAAATTGTGAACCTAAAATTAGGTTGGAAAATATCATAATGGTGTGCTTTTCTTCAAAATTTTGATATTAAGCTAATTGTGTGGATTAAGACGAAACAAAAAAAAAATTAATTTAATCCTTAAAATTTTAAACCATATAACTTTACTGTAATGAAGTAAATCTTTCAATTAGCTTGATTACGCAAAAGAATTAACCTTACTGGTAATAGGTATAAAAAGTTTGAAAATCTGTACACAAAAGGACTGCTTACTGGTTAGCAAAAGCAATAAATTCTCTCCAAAATCCAAATGCCAAAGCTATATCCAATCAATCCAAATTACAGCACTTAGTTTCTTCGTGATTTCCTCAGCAAACAAAGATGGGATCACGCGAGACAATGATTCAGCACGAATAGAATCGGGTTTTCTTATGTATATTTAAATAGAAAACTTATCCAAAAAATTTGCAACGGGCCAGCCAGTGGGGGCACGTGCCCCCTGTGGCCCCACCGTGGCTCCGCCACTGAGCTCAGGTGGATAAATGGCTTTACACTTAGAGAAAGAATGCAAAATGAGCATATAAATGAAATGGTTGGAGTAGCTCTAATGGAAGATAAGATTAGAGTCTCCTTAGATGGTTTGATCGCATAAAACATTTGCCTTTGAATGACCCAATTGGGAGAGTAGATGTATAAGATCCGGCTTATGTTAAAAAGGGTAGAGGTGAACCTAAAACTAGGTTAAAAATTATTATATATTATCTTTTTTATTATTTTTAAATGAGACTTTGATATTTAATAGAACAAAACGGAGAAAAAAGATTCATGTAGCCGACCCCACATATTGGGATAAAGGCTTGATATTGTTGTTGTAACAAAAAAAATGTGGTTCCTACAAGAATGATACTCATCCAATTAAGCTCCAATCGTGCAGCTTTCGAACTTTAATTTGTGGTATTCTTTTTAGGAGACTCCAATTAACAGTAGGAAGTTTAAGGTTGTATGAAAAGCCATTCATCTGTTAATGCAGACCTGCTACAGGTAGAAGATCTAACATTGCGGGATTTTTCCGCACTCAACAAACATATTGCAATAATGATCATATGAGAAGAATATTTCGTGTAACAGCTTAGAAGCATCCGTTTTTAAAAAATCTTTCAGGAGGAATAGTTCTTAGTAAGGAGTTCCAGATTACACCGAAAGCATTCATTTAAATTTCAATAACAAATGTATTTGAAACTAGAAGAGAACAATTACTAGAACAAAATGCTCGCTAAAACCTTCTACTTAACAAAAGAAATTCAAGTCAGGCGCAGTTGGGGAAATTTTTTGGAATATCCCAAAAAAATATCCTAAACAACTATGTCAGCTACAAGCCCACCATTAGTAGAAATTAAAAAAAAAACGTCCAAAAGAACTAATCGAACCAAAGACAAACAATATTTTTCACTGAACTGAAGTAATTAAAAATAAAGCAAACGCTCAGGTTAAAACTGTAAGGTCTAATTATGATGCCAGATTCAACAATTTGCTTACCTGAAAAGCATAAAAAAAGACACAAATCGACGTTTGTGTTAAAATAGAGAAACCTTTGTATACCATATCAAATTCCAACCGAAGATTAATTTCACATGAAAAAAAAAAATAACGATTTTGGACATAAATTTCAGGGTCGCGCTGCAGAAAAAGCACAGGGCCACATACCATTGCCAAAAAACTCCAGCTTATCAAAGCTTTCGCTCAGCCATAGATCTTAATCAGCTTAATAGATGATAAACACGGTATAGGAAAAAGGGTGAAAGCTTACCTCTTTGCGAACTTCCATATGAAAATAAAGAACGGATCTTGTAACTTGGGATTCAGAAAGCCCGAGTATTTCGCACACTTTAAGCAAAGAAATAAGTAGAGAAAGTCAGGTCTCTTAGAGCATAATTGCAGAATAGAGTAAGCTATAGGACAGCGAAAGGAGGAGGAAAGACACAGAACCGAAGCCCCTGCACAGTCTACATGTATAGTTCTCGTTATGGTTTATCTTGGTTTTTTTTTTCATTCTTTTTTAAGCTTAATTGCGCCGTACCAATTAATTAGATTTTGATGTTTATCTCTCTCAAATAAATCGCGTACAGGGACAAAAATTTGATCAAGATTCGTTTTTACGATAACCGCGATTTTATTTTTTTTTTTGCTTTTAAAATAAAGGATGTGACCTCCCCATGATCTTATCAGAATTCAGACGTCAAAATCTTAGTCCGAGTTATAATTTTATTTTCAGTCTTCTAAGTAGTCGGTGGTCAACCGCTGCTTCCGAAATATATTTTATATTTAAAGCAAATTTTTAGGTAGCTTCAATATGTTTTGTGTTCAAGTCTAATATATATGATGTGTATAAATTTATATTAATTGATATAAATGTTTTCCAAAAAAAAAATTAATTAATTTTTATCTAACTCGTTCGAAGAAAATAAACTATAATCACATCAAAGTTGATTATAATAATAAAATCAAAAATATAATGAGGCTGCATTTATTTATGAGCTATTTGGTTGTCTAAAAAAATATATATACTTTAAAATAAATGCAGTGTAAGAAATAAAATTAAGGTTGTAAATGATCTAAGAAGCAAATGATTGAATTTTGCACAATAAGTCACTAGAGTTAACTATGATGAATTTGATAATTACTTTAAATTGATGATCATGCTCTTCCCAAGTGATTTGCAATACAATCATCAATTTTGTTTCCTTGCATTAACTAGATAAATCATAAAGCAACAATGAAATAGGAGCCAGCCAAAAAGGATTAAGGGCCATTTTTTAAAATATGTATTTAAAATATATTATTTTTTAACTTTTCATGTATAAAAATCTTGTGTTAATATTATATTTTGTGATAAGTGCTATGATGATAAGCACATGGTTGTAGGGATTGTCTTTTGTAGTTGTGATATTATTATTGAAGGTGATTAACGTCAGCTTCATTGAAGAAGTTCTTGAGATTGAGCAACACAAACCCTTCCCAATCAAACTTGCCAAAGAGTTGTGTACCTTAGTTCTTTAGTTCCAACTCCTTGAAGAAATATTGGCACCAATTTTGTTATGTGAATCACTTGCACTAGAACATGTTCATTGCACTTTTCTCTTGTGGGTGTTTTTTTGGGGCATTATCTAGGCTAAATTTGGATGATTTATTTTATCTTGCGCTTATCAACTCTTAATGAGATATTGAAAGATTGGTAACCCTCTATGTCATATTCGTGATCTTTATGAAATACATAATACTTTGATGGATTTAGAGAATATGATCATACCTTTCATGGGTGCCTTCTTGATTAATTGTCTTGGCTTAACAACGATGAATTGTTTTAACTTTTTTGTGTGATTAACTCTTCAACAATATTGCAAAGATGTTACTAAACTTTAATGTTGAGCCAATGATCTTTATGAAATGCATAATAAAATGAATCTAAGGCATTCAACCCTACCTTCCATACTCAGTTTCATGCTCATGATATATATATATATATATATATATATATATATATATATATATATATATATATATATATATATATACTGCTAAATTCATTCAAAATTTTACATGCTCATGATATTTGTTATCATGAAATACACAAAAATTATAGGGTTATCATCCAGGCTAAACTATGATAAATTCTTTCAACTATATTGTGTGAATCAACTTTCAATGAGGTTATAAGTATGTGACCAATCCTCAGTATCATGCTCATAATATTTGTTAATCACACAATACTTTAATGAATATAGGGCATACAACCTTGTCTTCATCAATCTTATTTTTTGAATGTGTTCTAAATCATGGATTGCATCCATATTTTCTACAAGAGAACACAAAGAAGATTGAAGTTTTGGCATTAATGTAATGATAATAACTTTTCACATATAACAATATTATAGTTCCTCAATTTATGATCTTACATATTGGGGTAAACATCATGATTCTTTTATCTCAATTGATGATATTGTCATTATTAATTTCATTCCTTTTCTACTAAGTTGTCCCAATTTTTTCAAGGTCAAACTTGGTGGTCTCAAGGAAGTAATCTCAAGCTACCATTGTACCATAATCATGTGTTAGAAGTATAACACAATAAATGCACAATTATACTCTGCATTAATATGGTTGTTAACAGTTTTGTTAACATTCTTCTAAATAGATCCCTCTTAAAGGGGTATTGTTGTTTCTAAGTTTTTGACTTTGGACGTCTCCCACTAAAATCATAAAATGAAATTCCCAAAGGACTCAACATGTTTTTATTTTATAATTAAAGGAGTTTAAGAGCTCTTCAATCAGATTATATATATTTAATTTTAGTGACTAATGATTCTTTGTACTTGAATACATAATATATTTTAAAAATATCATCAACATCTTATATAATGAGAATTATTCTTAAACAAAAATTATGTTGAAGTTATGATGATTTGTTTGCAAAAAAAATCAAAATGATGTAATTGATTAATCATTCAAACTCTACAAATGTATGTTGGAGTTGCCTTGAATTTAGCTCAACCCCTATTTGTTCATATCCTTGATAGTTGAATGCTTCGCATATATGTCGGGGGTCCAATGAGGCAGAACCCTTGACAAGTTAAGACCATAGTATTTTAAATTTTTTTATGGGGGTAACTGCCTAAAAATCCTTATAATAACACATCTACATAATGTGTATAATTGTGCTAGGGGGCAATCACCTAAAGATCATAATATTTTATCTTTTTAGAGAGGGCAATTGCATAAGGACTCTTGTAAACTACCTAAAAATCCATGTGATAAACAATTTTTAATCCCCCCCCCCATAAACAACTTCCCCCCCCCCCCCCCCCCTAAAGATCATAATAGGTGGTAATATTTCTTAGCAGGAGATAAGATAATCATCTAAGTAGAACTTACATAAAATTAGTAAGAAATAACCATCACATTAGTTCATCAATGATATTAAGAAGAGTTATGGATTCATATTAAGCAGTTTGGTTGGCAAGTTCTGACTTATTTCTATATATTGAGGCGGGGGATTTTATGCTTTGGAGGAGGTCTATATTATGTAATTTAGGTAAAGAAGGTGCTTGAAGGTTGAGGTTGGCATTTTATGACAAAATAAGGAATTAGTGTCTTGATAATACTTTCTTAGGAGATTTAAGCCTCATCAAATATTACAGCCGTAAATATGAGAGCTCTATGACTTGGGTGTCATCTACATATAAGAGAATCATAAGATCCTTCCTCTTAAGGAGTTTATATTTAAGCAATATCATATTAAAATTTCTTTGATCATTATTTTAGAACAATCCTTCTATAAGATGGTGGTGAGACCTGTAATGCTTATGGTGCCGAATGTTGGCCATTAAAAAAGATGCATAATACTAAGTTAAGTGTTGCAGAGATGAGGATACTTAGGTGGATGAGTGCCTTGACCCTTAGAGATAGGATACAAAATAAGCATACACGTGAAAAGGTTGGAGTAGCTCTAGTGGAAGATAAGATTAAAGAGAGTCACTGTAGATGGTTTGGTCACATTAAACGGAGGCCTTCCGATGACCCAGTTAGGAAAGTTGAGATATTAGATTTGACTTATGTTAAAAAAGGTAGAGGTAGACCTAAAAAGATTTGGTTAGAAAATATTAGAAATGATCTTTCTTTATTAGATTTAAATGAGAATTTGACTTTTAACCGGATACAATGGCGAAAAAGGATTCATGTAGCTGACCTCTCATAGTGGGACAAAGGCTTGATGTTGTTGTTGTATTATTGTAGAACAATCCTCTATCAAATTCAATTGCCATTAGTCATTCCATTTGTGTGATCTTTGTCAGTTATAAGGATATTTAATGACCTTATCTTTTATCATTGTCATCTTTCGCTTCAATTGCACCTTAAAAGCATGTTCGATTAAAGCTCGTTTGTGATTGTTTAATTAATTAAACAAAAAAACTTGAACAATGTTTTTAATACTCAATCCTTAGATAAACAAGCTTGAACACCAATGTGTTTAGTTCATTTATGTTCACGAACAACATCATTTGAAGCTTGTGAACATGCTCGACATTAAGCTCGATAAATAGCTCGATTCGTGTTCGATTCAGAACTCGTGAATAAGCTCGATAAAAACTCAGCAATAACAACAACAACATCAAGCCTTTATCCAACTACGTGGGGTCGGCTGCATGAATTCTTTTTCTCCATTCCTAATATTTTCTAACCAAGTATTTTTAGGTCTGCCTGTACCTTTCTTAACATAAGTCAAATTTAATATCTCTACTTTTCTAACTGGGTCATCGAAAGGCCGCCGTTTTATGTGACTAAATCATCTGAGGCGACTCTCTCTAATCTTATCTTCTATTGGAGCTACTCCAACCTTTTCAAGTATACGCTCATTTCATATCCTATCTCTAAGGGTAAAGCCACTCATCCACCTGAACATCCTCATCTCTGCCACACTTAACTTAATATTATGCTTCTCTTTTAATGATCAACATTCGACACCATAAAGAATTGCAGGCCTCACCACCATCTAATAAAATTTTTCCTTAAGTTTGAGGGGTACTTTTCTATCACACAATAAGCCTGATGCATTCCTCCACTTCAACCATTCAACTTGAATTCTTCTGATAATATCCCAATATATTTCACCATCACTTTGAACAATAGATCCAATATATTTAAAACATGTACTCTTATTAATGACTTGATCGCCCAAAGTCACAATCCCCTCATTAAGTCTATTACTATTAAAATTACACTCCATATATTCTGTTTTAGATCTATTCAAGCTAAAACCTTTAAACTCTAAGGTCGATCTCCATAATTCGAGTTTGCCTTCAATTCTCTCTCTAATCTTATCAACAAGAATAATATCATCAGCAAAAAGCATACACCAAGGTATATCCTCTTGCAAATGTCTAGTGAGAACATCCATGATTTAAACAAAAAGATATGGGCTTAAGGCTGGTCCTTGATGTAACCCAACTGAAATAGGGAAATACTTGGTCAAACCACCTTGTATTTGAACACAAGTAATATCTCATGCATACATATCTTTAATGATTTGAATATAAGCGTTATTAACTCCTTTCTTTTCAAGAACTCTCTATAGCACTTTTCTTGGAACTTTATCATATGCTTTTTCTAAATCAACAAATATAATATGTAGATCCTCTTTATTCTCTATATTTCTCCATAAAATCTCTTAATAAATGTATGACTTCCATAGTCGACCTACTCGGCATGAATCCAAATTGATTTTGAGAAACATTAGTATCACGCCGCACCCTATGCTCCATAGCTCTCTCCCATAGTTTTAAAGTATGACACATTACCTTAATTCCTCTATAATTCGCACAATCGTATGCATCACCTTTATTCTTAAAAAAGAATTAACACACTCATTCTCCACTCATCTAACATATTTTTAGTATTCAAAACAATATTAAAAAGTTTAGTAAGCCAAGAAATTTCTTCATCTCCTAAGCATTTCCACTCCAAATATTTAATTATAAAATTGATAAATATACATAATATAAATATTTGTAATTTATTATAACATAATGATATAATTATTTTTAATTAATAAATTTTAAAGTAATTAAATATTATAATATGTTGTAGTTTTAATTTTCTTACAATTGCTAATTTATTATATTAGATCGTTAGATCTTGCTCATTTGATAGCTCAGGAATACTCATTCGATTTGTTCATGAACATGCTTGTTTGATAGTTTACAAAAATTCACTAACTATGTTCACGAATAGAGCTCGTTAAGGCTTATTTGTTTAGAGCTCGATAAACACTAAAAGAATCGAAAATGAACCGAACATGAACACCATTAATTTAAACGAACCAAACATGAACACAAATAATAAATCTCGAATCAAACACGAACCGAACTTGAACAAGCTAATAATAAATGAACTCAAATATGAACACTCACATATTCGGCTCGGTTTGGTTCGTTTGCAGCCCCAGACACTAGAACATTTTTAACTAGTCTATATGGAACATTATAGCTAAAGAGGGGGGAGAGAGAGAAAGAGAGAGAGGTGAATAAATATATTTTGATGATCTTATTAAATTTTATCGTAAATATAAAATTGACATGACATGAGCTAATCAAAATATATCTAGCTCATCCTTTGACTCTTTATTCATTTATTTTAAGGTTCAATACGTTATGAACTATGACATTTAGTAACATAAGTAAAATATTTTAGTAATTCTAGGCAATGCTTAGTGTTAAACAAATATAATTGGCTAAGAATTTTCTCTAATAAATTCTCTTCATCATCAAAGAATTTTTAGAACTTTAAGTTGCACACATCATATATTTAAGTGCCCAATTCAAAATTTTTAATTAAAAACATATATTTTACGTAGCTCATCTTTATTTATTGAGAGTTTTCACAATCAATTAAGAAAATTTGAATTCGAATTTTATGTATTTGATGCATATATAAACTGTCTTATTTGACCTAAATGTAAAAAAAAATAAAAAATCTATATTTTTATCATTAAATTAAAATAGGCTTCAAAATTTTCGGTTTTTGTAGAAATTTAAGATTAAACTTAGATATACGAAAGATTATTAAATTTAAGATTTAAGATTTAATACCAGTCAACAGGCGGTCGTGGGAGCAAAGAAACCCTTGTTCCGGTTTCTTTTCCATTTATCTTTTACAACGCTCAGGAAATCCAGACGAGCGATACGAGGAATTACCAAATTTTTGTAGAGGATCGCAGATTATTAGAACTTTTCACTCCCTATAGGGTTTACTGCGGGTTGTTTTCTATCTCGATCCTCTAGATTGTTTGCCTGCACTCCGTGCTCTTGGCGTGAGTTCTCTACCGCAACTTTTAGAAGGATTTCGCTAATTGAGTTCAGTTCTTTGCATTAATGGTTGTTTTAGGTTTAAGTTTTGTAGATTCTCTTGTGGCTATCTTTTAGAAGGATTTCCCTTGTGCGGCGAGAGCTTGCGTCTTTAGCTGCTGATATGCTAGTAAAGCGTGTGATAATGTTTATTGTTGAAAACCAGGGATTATGAAATAGGATGAAAAATCCTAATTCTTTCATATAAGTTAAGTTTCATATACCACTCATATACTTTCTGTAAAATTGCAGGTTTATTTGCAGAAGATGCAAGTGAGCATGGCAATGCAATAAGACCTACAGGTTGCAAAAGGCTGCAATGTATGCTAGGAAGTTGAAAAGTAGAGGGCAGAGCTGGGTTTCCCTATTAAGTCCATCAACTAATACATTTAGGTCATGCACTGGAATTAGGCCTCAATTTAATTCATATAGAAATATCGACGTTAGGGAAATCTCGCCTAATCTGAGCGCTGCTATAAGATTCTGCTCATCTACAACGTCTTTGCCAACTTGTTGTGTAGGATTTTGTAGTAGGTATCGGATACCTTTAGCACACAAGTCGTATAGATTTTATAGTTGTAGTGGTGATGGAAGTAATGCTAGCGAGGGAAAGCATGTACCTATGAAGGATGGGTCTAAATTTGAAGATGGAAAGTCTCAAAAGGAGGATGGTTTATCTGATCCCGAGCACAGCAACCTGCATGCACGACTTGGTGAGCATGAACAGCAGGAGTGGCTCAACGCTGAGAAGCTATCCATCAATAGCAAGGAAAAAGAGTCTCCTGTTTTACCAATGCGGCAGCGGTTTAAGAATGAGTTCTTGCGGAGAGTGGTTCCATGGGAGAAAATTACAGTCTCGTGGAAATCATTTCCTTATCACATCAAGTAACGATATTTCATCAACTTGACTACTTCCATTATTATTTTCGAATTTTAGTATTACAACCTTACGTATATCTTCCATTTGATGTAACAGTGAACACACAAAAAACTTGTTAGTAGAATGTGCTGCCTCGCATTTGAGACAGAGAAACTTTGCATTAAGTTACGGTGCGCGGTTGGCCTCTTCAAGTGGGAGAATTTTGCTTCAGAGCATGGCAGGTTTCCTTATGAAGGCCACATGAACCGTTCTGTTTTATTAGCTTTTTTTCTTTTCATCCCACCAGTGCTATAGTTCTGGAAAATAGTATTAAAGCTATCTGTTTTTGTTCGTAGGGACTGAACTTTACCGGGAGAGACTAGTTAGGGCCCTTGCTAGAGATTTGCAGGTCCCCTTGCTTGTGCTTGACAGCAGTGTTCTTGCTCCATTTGTAAGTACATTATGATGTCTATTCAATACCACTAACAAGTGTTTGACTTGGAAAGAAGATTAAGACTATTTCTTCCTATTATGTTGTGAACTTGCGATTCAGGATTTTGGTGAAGAATATGCTTCTGAAAGTGACTCAGAGGATGGGCATGCTGAATCAGGAGAAGGATGTACATCAGAATCAGAGGAAGAAGTGGAGAATGAGGCAAGAAATGAAGAAGAATGGACAAGCAGCAGTGAAGCAAAGTCAGGTGAAAGTGATGATGATGATAGTGTTGATGTCCGAGCATCTGCAGAGGCTCTTAAGAAACTTTTGCCCTGCAGCCTTGAGGAATTTGCAAAGGTTAGATACTGTATGCTTCATATTTTACTGCAATACGTCAAAAAACTAGTTTCTATGCTGTCAGTTAACCATAAAACAAGGGATTATCAATCTATTTTTGTTACTTATAAAAATAATCATGTATATTAATGTGTGGGAAAGATGCATTAAGCCTTCACAGTTTTCTTGTTATGGAAACGTAATCCATAATCATTTAAAATGGGAATTTGGGAAAAAAAAAAAAAGGTGGGGGTGGGGGGGGGGGGGGGGGGGGGGGGGGGGTGGGTTGCAAACCTGACAAAAGCCTCGATTCCTAATCTTTAGATATATAATTGTTCCCTTAAAGTTATATATATATATATGATTCATATGGAGTTGCCTCTTCATTGAATCCCAATTGAGTGCATATTAGCTGTATTCTCTTGGACCTACTTTCTTATATGTCCAATGTCGCCACTTGAAGTTTGGATTTAGGTTATGTTAGTTTTAGGCATTTAAGCACAGGAAGTAAACATCGTCTGAATACTTTTAGACTCTTTACTTTTTTTGAATTTATATTTTCATAAATTTTCTGACAAGTTTAGTCCTGCCAACTCCAACTGGAGCACTTTTTTTTTCTTATAATATAACCACTCTTCTCACATAAGATTCTAATACTAACCTTTTTATGAGTAGCTGTCTTGTTCATCTGTTGAGTAATATTTTATAATTTGATTAACATTATACAGAATATATCTGGTGAAGGTGAAAGTGAAAGTGCACCAGCAACTGCAGAATCTGACGCCTCTTCAGAAGAATCAAAAAGGCCTCTCAAAAAGGGTAATAATAAGTGTTAGTGTAGCTTGATATCTTGTATGATGCATTGTCGAGCTAAGACATATCAATCAGATCAGGCTTTGACATATTGATAGCTGTTTTTTTGTGCTTATTTTCTGAGTTTGAATGATTTTTGAAAAAAATTATAACCAACTTCATTATAATTTATCCTTTTAATCCACCTTCTAGCAGCGTTATTATTCCAATGAGGATTTGTCACAACTTTTTTAATCTTGGGAATTATGATAAGTAAAAAGGGCTTTGTATTCGTAATTTCTCCTGGCGGGCCTCTTCCTTGTCTATTGGAAGTTTGTTATCTTGTTTATTTTTTCTTAATACTGCCTAGAATTCAAATATTGTAGAATTATTTCCTTTGCTTACTGCTAGCTTTCCTCTGCTGTATGGCTTTACAGTTAGAGCTTAACTTTATAGATGGCATATGTTCTTATGTTAATACTGGAAACTGCTTACAATTGTTCTTATTGAGAAGTGCATAATTATTATTTAGGTATTTCTCTCCCTTTTTACTGTTTTATCCATGCTCTATTTAGGCCAGGATTTTTCACAACTTAAAGATGTGATTTAACCTTTAGGCATTCTTAATGCTCTTGTGAAAACCTAGGCAAGTTTCAATAACCTTATGCCGTTGAAATTTCTGAAGTCATTTTTAATTCTTTTTTATACAGGTGATCGTGTGAAATATGTTGGGGCTTCTGTGCTAGTTGGAGATGAAAAAGAGTATTTAATTTCTAACTCTGCATGCATAATTCTTTTTCGTTTCAGTTTTTTGCACAATGTTGATGAACTATCATTAGATTGGTAAATCTTAATGAAGTGTCAGAATGGATGTTTGAATCAGCTGCTAATAGGCAGTCTTCTGTTACAGAATTTGTAGGAATCTTTGTTTGGATGCTTTACATGCACATATTAGTGCTCTTATTCCTGTCAACAGTTCTTGAATTGACTTAATTGGTAGAAATCTATGGTTCATATTTGTTTCATGCTTATATAAATGTCCCTATTCATGTCATCCATTTTTCTTGACTTAGTCACCTGCTTATAGTATTTGCATTCCTCAGACTTGGTGCTCCACAACTTAAACCTAATTATGGTGGGATATAGGCAAGGTCTACTAGGATGTCACCCCTAGGGGTGCGTTTGGGACGGCTGCAGCTGTCGGTAAAGTAGGTTGTGAAATTGTTGTATATAAAGTTGCTTTTTGAAATTGCTGTACATAAAGCAATAGATTTTGTTTGGGAAGTATAACTGTCAAGTTGCTGTGCTGCAGCTGTATGAGAGTAAATTATCTTTATACTCTTATATAATGAGATGAAAAGAAATTATTTAATTGTCAAATAAAAAAAAATCATATCCCAACAAGTTAACAATTCTAAATTAAATTTGTATCAATTTTTATGAAATTTTAAATATCATAATCAAATTTTTTTTTAATAATGTAGTATCATATTTTAAAATAATCTGAAAAAAAAAAATTACTGTCATGATCATATCTCAACATTCCATATTCTGCCAGGCTTTCCACATAAATTTAGCATCATGGCATCAATTATTAATTCAAATCATCAGCTAGCAAAATGTCTAATACGCAGAAATGCTCTATTAATAAAAAAATATAAGAAAATTCCAAAATTGTAGACATGGATTTGGAAAAAAAAGATAATTTGCTAGGAATGAGCTAAACAAAATTATTACAAGGAAAACAAACTCCTTTTAAATCCAGCAATCCCTTCCACCACAGCAAACATACTTGCAAAACCATCTATTTTCACTCTAGAGGAATCTGTGTATCCAGCTAGTGATAAACTTATTTACCTTGTCAAAAATAGATAACATTAACAGTATGACTTCTAGAATTCAAAAGACAATTTTTGCATCAAACATACATACAAAACCTTCTTTCTTTTGACTGGTTTGAGGATTTTAATGATGCAACGACCCATGTTACAAACACTAATGCCTTGAAAGACTTCACTATATTTACCTCTTCCAACTTCTCTTACAACTTCATAATCATCCTGATCACTGAATTAAAAGATTGTTTTCAAGCAAAACCATAGCAGCCATACTATAAAAATAATAAATTTCATGAATTCATTTGTGAAAATGAAATTACACTACCAATTCTAGAACCTTTAGATTATAACAAGAGGCAATATGTAGATCTATATAATTCATGGTTGTTGCTAGTCATTTATAAAACAAGAGACATCATGCATCTCTATCTTGTGTCTCATAATTTGTACATCTTCTGCCTCATGTTTGATTGAAGAAACTATTATTACGACAATAAGAAAACAACAAGTTATTTGATGAATTTCAATTGACAAATTAGTTTGAAAGGGGCCTTCACTGCCAAGCAAAGTAACATATTACTTCACATTACAACGATCAAGCTCAACATAGAAGAAAAAAGTTCTCATCGAGCAGCTTTCCAAAAACAAAACATCCAAGATAATTGTTCATACATCAAACATAGAAGAAAAAAAGTTCTTATTGAGCAGCTTTCCAAAAAAAATAAAATATTTCAAGCAAGCTTTCTTAAGGTTAACTAAAGAACAGAGCAAAATTTTTTTTTTGACTGTATAATATCATACTTCAAAATAATCTTGAAAAAATTACAATATCTAATACTTAATTACATTGCAAATATATGTAAATGTATTCATCAAAAGGCTAATAATGAGTTATATTCTTGGTAAAGTAAACTACTTTGATTACAAATAACTTGAATCCAGAAATGGTCTAATTACATTGCAAATAAGCTCAAATTTAGTGTACAGAGAATATGAAAATATGTAAAAATCAAGTCCATTAATTGATGTATATGCTCTGTAAACAAATAACCTTTGGCCACATACTCACGACTCATTTTGATTTCAGACATCATTTTTTTTAAAAAGCATGCTCGTGGCAAAAAACTTTGATGAAAGAAGCAAGCCTACACGTTTAGGAAAGCACAGCAAATGAACAAAGGCAATAGAGATTTTTTTTTTAATTGCTTCAAGTATCGGATTGCCTTCCACCTACAAATCTTTGCTTCTTTTTGTAATAATTACAATAAGGAATAAGTTCTTCAATACCTGTCTGTGCTCAGTCTTGGCCTCAATCACATGCACAAGACCCTTTCGGAGGTTGCTTCTGCTCTCTCAGTCTCTTGAACTCCAATTGCAGGTAGCGTCGAAGAAAGATGATAATGGAAGTGCACTTTTCTACAGCTCTCATGCACACCAGGATTAACTATTAAGGAATAATAACTGGAACTATAGATTTTTTTTTTAGAAAAAAAATGCCCTAGCCCCTGTTGTCCATCGGCCAGATGGAAGCCATGAATGCCACCAGCCGCCCCTTGCCCCTTCTCTGGACCAAATAGAGAAGCATGCCGCCCATGCCTTCCATTCGCACGCCCTGCACACCGCCTAGGCCCAGGATCGTGATTGATCTGCGAGGGAGTCGGGGCTCATTCGATTGAACGGAAGAGCTTGAGGCTGGGAATTGGCCGATTGATGGAACTGTCGGGTTGAAAGACTTGGAGCAGGTCGGAGGAGTAGATGTCGTGAGTGGCGGGGAACTCCTGGATTCGAACTTACCAATGCAGAGGCGGGACGGAGAGCAAAGGTCGGGAGACTTGCGTGAGCTTCAGAGAAGATGAGTCGGAGATGGATGAGCTTAAGGAGTTGGCGTTGGTTTGCAGTGAACATTGCAAGTGGGACATTTCCGTCATTTATGTGCTTCAAAACTGCGGAAAGCAACGACCAGCAGCGGACCGCAGGAGGCCTTCTTAGGGTGGCAAAAGTAACCACGGGACGCAAAATTTTTTACAACGGAGCATGAACTCGGCGCCCCAAACAATCCTTCGGTTACTTTACATAACGTGAAGCAATAAAAGCTTCGTCCCAAACGCACCCTAAGTATTACTTCACAACTTAACCTAATTGTGATGTAAAGTAGATAATGGTGAGCTAGGGCTTCACACCTTAGTGATGTGCCTCAATCTAATCTAATTATAGTGAAAATTAAGAAAGGGTTGACTAATTCTAATCTAAGATTAGATTTACTACTTAAAATTTTGGGACTTTAAATGTAAAGGAGAGTGAATTGATTGATACAATGATTAGAAGAAGAACAAATATTTCTTGTTAACAAGAAACTAAATGAGAAGGTAAAAAAATCCATCGACATTTGCGATGATTATAATATTTTGTGTTTTGCAAAAGTGAGCAATAGAAATGGGGTTGGAATACTAGTGGAAAGAGAGTTGAAGCTAAAATTTTTGAGGTGAAATATGGTTAATGTTAGGGCGATTGTTATTTTGATAATTATTGACGAGGACAATTTAAATGTGGTTATTGTCTTTTGCTTCTAAAGTTGGATTAGTAGTTAGTTCAAAAAATCAATGTTGGGAATGGATGAATGACCTAGTACAACATATGCCTAAATTTATTTATTGGAGATGATTTAAATGGGCATTTAGGTTTTGGTTGAATAGGTTATAAAAGGATTCATGTAGGTTATGAAATATGAGATTTAAAATCAATGATATAATTAAGCCTATAATTTTGCAATAGCTACTTTATGTTTTATGAAATGAGAAAATGTTTGGTTACTTGTAAAAGTTGAGCAGCTGAATGATAATTAATTTTCTTCTTATTTAGAAAGAAAGAAAGAAAAAAAAACCTTGTAATGGTAAGGTGATTCCAGAAGATAGCATGATGATAGAACTTATGGTAGTTGTGGATGGATATCTTAGAAAACCATTAAAAGAAATTATTGTTGTAGGATGATGTGATGAAATTCTATTAGATTCTCAGCAGTCTGAAAAATGTTTTCTACTATAAGCTCTTAGACTGATCTTTCTCCCTTCTCTCTCTCTTCACCATCTCCCCCAAGCAACCTGCTTCACCTTGCTTTCGGCCATGGAAGGTATTGAGCATATCTTCCAATTGATTTGCTAGAAATTATAGCTGGCGATATAAGTTTTTTAATAGCCTAAGAATTAGATATGATAATAAATGATAACTTTTAACGGATATAAGGTAATATAGTGGATTACTTTTAGCATCGAAAACATATTTATTATATAATTTAAATTATATAATTAGATTTCTTTCTACGCAAAAGGGCTATTGGGATGTATAATATAATGAACATATCATCATCGTAGGAGAAAACTTTCTTACACGAGGAATCATATACGTACCATCAATCATCTGCATTGCTTCTCCTATGCCATCGCAGCATAGACTTTAATGTAGTTGTGGCTTTGGTGTTTATCGAGTTTTCAGGTTAATATTTTGCAAGAAAGGGTCCTATTTTGTCTATGGGTTGATCAACTATGATCATGTATTTGTTTTGTTTGATTAACTCTGATCACATTTGTGAAGCATATTGATCTTTCCCTATCAAAGTGCACCCTAGTTAACAAAAAATAATCATGTTGATTGTTTTAACCGGAATGCTCATGCTAAACTGCAATATGAGGAGACAAGACGGATCTTCATCTCTTAAACATTTGTAAAAACATTTTCTGAAATGGCAATATAGCCACTCTATTCCATATGTGAGTTGTTGAGGAGTTGCAATGTCAGCTCAAGTGGGCTGTCCATGATTTGGTTCTTGCATGACTCCAAGCTTTGATTTGTGATTGAATGGTTCATAATGTCCTAAATTTATTCTTCTTTATCTGGTTTTGGGCCAAGGGAACTTCTCTTTGCACGTTAAGAAAAACTAAAGTTCAAAATAACAAATGCATAACTCTACATTTACAACTTTTTGGCGTATATATCTGTGAATAACTTTACCACATTTAATATTCTCAAAATACTGTTGGTCATACTGGCATGGTTTTATTCATCTTTTTTTTTTAATCAAATTATAAATGCTGTCATTATAAATGAGATTATTTAAAAGTGCCATGCATTTCGCCATCATGACATGGCTTATATATGGCGTGCTTGCTTTTTAGAATTTAGGTTAATATCCAATAACTTATTTCATGGGTTGGTTTTTGGATCAATTCTTGATAATCCATCCGGTAGGATATTTTTAGGAGCCGCACCACAAGCCGTTCCACTTTGCATAATAATTTCAGAGTTCTTGATTTTAAAATTAGTCTCTACTATTTTTCTCTATTCTTTATTATATTCACAATTTTAGGATTGATAATTGTGGAAAAAATGTTATCGACTTGTGCAACCTATTGTCAGAAATCTAAAATTGAAACTGATATAATTACACTAATATATCTCAGTAATTCAAATTGTGAGTCTGATTTTGAATACGATCTATGTTGATGCTATTAAGGTTTTGGAAGTGTTTTTAGTATGCACATGGACATCTTCCAGTAATTCAAATTATTATTTCTCTGATTTTGAATCTGTTTTGTGTTGATGCTTCTGAGGTTTTGGAAGCATTATTAGTTGCCTCATTAACGAGATTCTATACAGATATGACTTCTGAGGTTTAGTAAGTGTCATTAGTTGCCTCGTTACTTTCCTATAGAGGCCATTCAAGGCAAAATCTTCCTGACGGCTTTGAATGGCTGGGTTTGCAACTAGTTTAGATATGGTTTGAAGACTTTATTTGAAACTTAGCTTTTGAGATCTATTTTGTCATCATATGGCTATTGCGTGTTGACTGGTGAATATACGTTTCATAGCTTTATTTATCATATTTTGGATCCTAGAGATGCGGACTTTAGTTTTTTTTTCCAACATCTTGTAGGACTTTAACTGAGTGCTATATTTGTTAGTAAATGTTTTGTTGTGGATCTTACCCCCTAGATTTCATGAAAATAAAATATGATTCATGCATTTTGGTTTAATAAATTTAGGGTTGTGTTTGCTATGTTTTCCTGTTCATCATGTACAAGATGAAGTCGGATAAGTTTGATGCATATGTGTATGGGTTTCTTTTCAATATTTAAGAGTAACTAAATTCTGTAAATTCTTGCAGATCTCTGGTGAGTGGGCAGCGTGGGGAAGTGTATGAGGTTAAGGAGAATCATGTAGCTGTAATTCTTGATAATGCAACGAACGAGACAGGAGATGACAAGGAAAAAGATGACAAATTATCTCTTTATTGGTTTGACAGTATGTTTCAATTTCATTTTCATATAATGCCAATATTGATTATTTGGAAGTGGGTCTCATCTTAAGCTGGTTGAGCTTTAAAAATTGAAATGCGCCTCATTCTTTTCTATATTCAAGCTTGCATGGATTGTTATTTTTCTGTATTCGTGGGCGTAATTGTTTTGTTCAGAATATATGAAGCATGGAAAACTGGTTAAAACTGGCGATACAGGCTATAATATACTATGCCCATATAATCCAGAACATCTTAAATAACATAATGATACTACACGAGTGTGGAAGATAATATATTCATGGATTAAATATGTGGATATTGTTTGTATATTAAGTTTAAATAGTTTACAATGCCCATCCATATATGCCCGGTGCAGTATGCAATAATTGAAAAATCACCATCACACATTCATTTAGATGGTCACATTATACTTGCAGCTCATGATCTTCTATCTTAATTATACACTGTCCATGCGTATACTATCATCTCATATGTATCTATTCAAATCTGCAAAATTCAGAAACTTTTGTGCTTTTTATAGTTGTTTGTGATTTTGCAAAGGCAATATATGTATTAGCTGGCCTTTTGGTTGTGTTTAGAAAACGTTCATAAAAAACACTAGGTGTAGTTTCTTATAAAAGCATCTTCGATGGACTTCTATGAAGTGGTATAGTAAAGATAGTCATTAGGATATTTGTTTTGAGTTCTGAGGAACTTATTTGTTTATCCTTTTAGTTCAGGATATTGCGCATGATCTTGACACTGAGGCTGAAGATTGGTATATAGCTCTTGAAGCACTTTGTGAGGTGATCATGTTCTCTTATGTGCACTTTGTGGATACATTTTTCTTCTAATTAGCCATTAATTTAAAGAAGATCTGCTTTACATGATTTCTTCATCTTTAGATCTCAAGCTTCTGTTTGGGATGAACTTCCATGTGATTTAGCGAAAATACTTAATTACCATCTTGTTGTTCTCGTCCTTCTTGCAGGTTCTGCCATCCTTGCAACCAGTTATTGTATATTTTCCTGATTCTTCCAAATGGTTGTTGAGAGCTGTTCCTAAGTCGAGCCGCCAGGAGTTTATTAGTAAGATGGAGCAAATGTTTGAACAACTTTCCGGGCCTGTTGTTTTGATATGTGGTCAGAACATTTTAGAAACAGGGTCTAAAGAGAAGGAAAAACTAGTAGGACCTTTATTCCTGTTTCTGCCTGCTTGAACTGAACACATTTAGAACTTTATCTTTTTTGTAAATACACCTGAGAGATTTTTTCCATTTGGCATATTCTTTTCTTGATTTATATTGGTTTTGCATAATGCAGACAATGGTTGTTCCACAAATACGCTTTGCTCGGCTGGTAATTGCTAATCTTTTTAATATTCTGTGTAGTTTGGTCATTTATGCAACGCATTCAAATTATTTCTATCATTCATTTTAATGCACTCTTTTCACCATGCATTTTCATTTTTCTACTTTCTGCTTAATTTAATCTTCAAACTCTATGCTGTTATGGTTTGTGTTGCTCTTTTATCTTGATCTCTGGCACGTGCCAGCTGAAGAACAATATAAACTTATCCCATTTTTGGGATATTGCCTGAAGTGGTTCTGTTCTTTATTGCCATATCTTGTAGTTTATATTTCTACTGGACTTGTTTACAATTTTGCTTGTTGTATGAAAATGTTAGTTATCCCATCTGTTGATCCATAAAAGAGAGCTTGGATGATAAATCGATGTGTTAACATTGAATGATACTTATTGAGTATTATATTTGATGTTACCCTACCGTAAAACTCTCTTCATTTTCCATTTCATGTTTCATTCATTTCTGTAAAAATTGTACTTTTCTGTCCTTTTATGACATTGCTGATCGAATTGATGCTCAACTTTTTTTGCAGCCTTTTCCTTTGAAACAACTAACAGAAGGATTAAGAGCACCTAAACAATCAAAGCAATGCAATATGAGTAAAATATTTAGAAATCCCATTGTTATTCCTCTTCCAAAGGTACCCAAGATTAACTTCTTGTTCTTTTTATGTTATCTTTTTAATCGTTCTTTACTCATCCGTTGTTACACTGAAGATTTAATGATTTAATACAACGTATTATGCTGTAATAAGTATTGATTCATTAGTAGAAAAGCATGACAAAATTGATGAAAGGTTCTATTGGCATTTGGTTATTTACTTATTTAGTTTTTGTAGCTTATGCTTTTTACCACCCTTTCCTGTGCTACTTGTTAAACTGATGTCTCAGACATCTTTTTGACTTAGAATATTCAATGATCTAGGATTTCTGCTACACATCGAGCATGCAATTTAGATTTAGATGCGGTTAACTGGTGCAATAAACATGCACGTATCTTGCGATGATAAGTGATTATTGTGAAAACAGTTACTTCCTCTTTTTGATGAAAACTATGCAAGTTAAAATTCAAATAGGATGAAAATTTTTGTTGGCTTTCTATTAATGACAAAATAGTTATTGATTAGGAAAGTCATGCTGATAATTGAAATTTTATGCAAATGAATTAAAATGTTTTTGGATCCAATTCATAGCGCTCCAAACTAATAAAAAATATATGAGAAGAACCACCAACTATTTGGCTGTGGTTCACATTTCAAAGTCAGAGACAGCTTCAGATTGTAATTGAGGTGTGGTTTCAAATATTTCACACATCAAAATTTAGTTTTAGTTTCAGTGAAAAAGTACTATGTAAGATATAAAATTATTCTCCAAGTCGTAATTATGCCATAATAACATCTTTAGCTGCTCAGATTTTATCTTTTTTTAGAAATTTGGGTACTTATATGGCAGCTTATAGATGAAAGCAATAGATTTGTCCTCATAAATATTAAGCAAAGATGTAGTCTATTTTATCAAACCTAATAAAATATAGTATAAAGTAGTAGTAGTATAGTGTAGTATATATAATATAGTATAGTTACATAGTATAGAATAGTAGTAATATGGTGCAGTATATATAGTATAGAGTAGTTATATAGTATAGAGTAATACTGTAATGGTAGTATAATGTTGTTTATATAGTATAGAATAGTAGTAGTATAGTATAGTTATAGTATATTTTAAACATTGTAGTATTGTATAGTTCTGGGTGTAGTATAGTATAGAAGTAGAATTGCATAGTATAGTTATAGTATTGTAGTATAATTTAGTTATAATATAGTACTATAGTATAGTTATAATATGATAGAATAGTATAATTATAGTATAGTATAGTATAGTATATTGTAGTATTGTATAGTTATAGTAGTATATTTATAATAGTAGTAGTGTAGTTGTAGTATAATAATAGTAAAATAGTATAGTATAGTAGTACTATTATATAGTATGATATAGTAGTAATATAGTATAGTATATGAGTATTGTAGTATTGTATAGTTGTAGTATAGTAGTATGTTATAGTTATAGTATAGTAGTAGTAATATAATGTAGTATATGTATTGTAGTATTGTTTAGTTATAGTATAGTAGTATAGTATAGGTATAGTATATTTAAAACATTGTAGTATTGCATATTTATGGTATATTTATAGTATTGTAGTATAATATATTTATAATATAATAGTGTAGTATAATTATAATATACTTATAGTATAGTATAGTTATATATTTAATATAGTATAGTATAGTATGATATAGTATAATATATTGTAGTAGTAATATAGTATATGAGTATTGTAGTATTGTATAGTTATAGTATAGTAGTATAGTAGTATAGTAGTATAGTATAGTTATAGTATTGTAGTATAGTTTAGTTATAGTACAATTATAAGTGTTGTAGTATTGTATAGTTATAGTATAGTAGTATTATAGTATAGTATAGTTATGGGTGTAGTATAGTATTACATCAATATAGTTATAGTATTGTAGTATAGTTTAGTTATAGTATAGTTATAAGTGTAGTGGTATTGTATAGTTATAGTATAGTAGTAATATAGTATAGTATAGTATGATATAGTATAATATATTGTAGTAGTAATATAGTATATGAGTATTGTAGTATTGTATAGTTATAGTATAGTAGTATAGTATAGTTATAGTATTGTAGTATAGTTTAGTTATAATATAGTTATAAGTGTAGTAGTATTGTATAGTTATAGTATAGTTATGGGTGTAGTATAGTATTACATCAATATAGTTATAGTATTGTAGTATAGTTATAAGTGTAGTAGTATTGTATAGTTATAGTATAATATAATTATGGGTGTAGTATAGTATGATGTAATATTGTATAGTATAATATAGTAAAGTATAATATAGTATAGTGTTATATAGTATAATAGTAGTATGGTATTGTAGAGTATAGTAGTAATATAATATAGTAAGATATAGTAGTAGTATTGTATAGCGTAATATAGTAGTAGTATTGTATAATGTAATATAGTAGTAGTATAGTATGGTATAGTTATAGTATAGTAGGATAGTATTACATCAATATAGTTATAGTATTGTAGTATAGTTTAGTTATAGTATAGTTATAAGTGTAGTAGTATTGTATAGTTATAGTATAGTAGTAATATAGTATAGTATAGTTATGGGTGTAGTATAGTATTACATCAATATAGTTATAGTATTGTAGTATAGTTTAGTTATAGTACAATTATAAGTGTTGTAGTATTGTATAGTTATAGTATAGT